GTTGAAGCTTTCGTTTTATTAGAACCTTTTGTTTTGAAGATTCATTATCACCACCTGTTATTGATTTTTTCTTTATCAGCTTCTGTTTGTTCTTCTTCTATTGCTTTACGATATTTTCACCATAAACATCTAAATCTGTAACACTAACACCATAAGATCGTTTAATAAGTCGTTTTCGTGTTGTCAATGTTGTTGATTGTTTTGGCGACAAATATTCCGCAACTATAGCTTCAACAGCTGATAAAGGTTTAGCTGAATCTAAAATTAATAAAAAACAATTTTGGAACTGACTTCTCTGTAAGTGAATTAAATGAGTACTTGAGTTTGTTGAAGCAAGTGATGACGAAGCAGATTTGAAAGATAAATTTGTTGAAGACGAGCGAATGTGTGCAATCGGACTTGCTTTGATTGTTGAGGTCGATAATTTTTCACCACTTAAAGTTGTTGATTCCATAGCATTTGATGAATCCAAAACCTCATCTAGTCATTTATATACGCTTGCAGTTGCATCATGCATTACAAAATCAGCATCATATTGTGTAGAATTTGGTTGAAGTTGAGAATTTGTTGATGATGGTGAATGATCTGTAGTTACAAGAATGGAAAAAATGGAGAAAATCAGTTCAGAACTTACCAATAATCAAATTTGGAGCCGAGTTTGACCTTACTAGTGTATTTTGTTGATTAATTGGTTTACCATTGGGGCGTGGTGATGCATCTAATTCGTTTGATAATGTTGGAATAGATTGTTCTGGTGGTGCTATTGTTGTTGATAAAGTATTCTTGATTATTCTATCATTTTTAATTACTCGTGGATCGTATGGAAATATACCGGCTTTAGCAAATGCTGTCGAGCAATGTGCAGGTATCAAAGCAAAATCGTACACCTTGGAAAACAGCTGCACGAATTCACGCTTGTCCAGCACTTTTGATATTGTTTTATTTCGTTCCCAAAGCAACTGTTTCCACTGTTGTTTTACGTACTTTAAGGTATACACGTCTAAAGGTTGCAGGAGGTGGGTCGAGTGGCTTGGTAAGCACAAAAAATGTATTTCATTTTCGATGGCCAAACGTACAGCTTGTAGTGATAAATGAGAATAATGGCCATCGAAAATCAATAGTAATGGTCTTGGTAAATGTTTGGTATTCGGGATGAACAACTTTTGAAGATAATCGAAAAAACAATTATCATCTGTCCATCCAGATTTAGTACCATTGTAAACTATACCTTTAATTATATTTTTTGGACACCAATGTGAGTATAATCGTTGAGTTTTGTATATAATGTATGGTGGTCAGCAGGCACCATTAGCCGGTATTGTTAATAATACAGTTGTGTAAGCTTTGCCACCACTACCTTGCACTCTATAAAATGACATAGATATTACACAATTATAATCAATTCTGAGCAATAAGGTGAAACATATGATTTACGTACTGATTAGCGTATTTTGTACCACGTTTTACGACAACCACACGACTTCCAGCTTCTTCGGCGAAACCAGATTCGTCCATATTATATATGGACTGTGGTTTGTTCAACAAATTTAACTTTTT